ACATACCTCCCAAACATGTGCTAGGATCTGCTGGGGCTGCACTGTCAAGTGGACTTTCCATTACTTGCGCATGAGATGCTACATAAACAGGATTAATACGCAGTCCAACTTCTTCTTGTTCTGAAGGTACCGACTTAGCAGTAGCGGATACCACGTTTCCAGATCTCAGCGCCTACAAGGGAATGGTTTACACAATGAAACAGGTCAATAGAATGACGTTTAAGAGAAGTATTCGTATACTGAGGCTGCCTCGGTGGTCAAGTGAATACAGCGTCTGCTCCGAGACTGGTCTATGGTGGTTTCTATCCCCTAACTGCGTCATGCCAAACGACACTGTGAAATGGTACTTGTTGTTAAGTTGCGTTACAGTTGGCAAATACTTAAGACAGAATGAATGTGAGGAAAATCAACATAACGTGACGTAGGTATGCACATTATTTTTACGAGCACTTTCGTGATTTGTCACATTCAAGTTGAGTTCATTCGACATATGCTGTTAAACATATCCTTAACTTTGCAATGAGCATTAAAAAATAGACAGGTGAAGACTCCCCAACACTGCAGCCTTCTGGATTGCCAAGATTGTCAGAAGGGCTGTATTCCTGGTAGCGAATCCGGGTACCAAACATAAGACACCGAGAACAATGGGGAGTCGGACAACTTGGTACTTTGGATGCAAGCGTGACATTTCGAAAGCGAGGTCTGCATATTTGCCATGTTTTTCCTCAATCTTGTCAATCACATTACTGTCAAAATGGGCAGATAATTCAATGATATGAATGATTTCATTGGATTTATCAAAAAGGTCAAGATTAAGTTTGTTGGCCTTGATACGTCTGAGGCTGTATACGGGTCTATTCCAAAGGATTTTTTATTAATCATTTTCCATGACGCCCTCTAGATATTCTGGGTCGTACCATAATGCACCTCTGTGTCAAAACCACAAGCATGGCGAAGACGGTAATAAAATGATCGAGCCACCCTAGCTGTATTTCTGGTAGCAAACCCGGGGTACTATCCCAGTGTCAGTCAACAGTATGGGAAATACTAAACCTAAGGCACCATTAACATTGGAGAATCGGACAACTTTGTGCTTCATATGCGAGCGTGACATTTCAAAAGCAAGGTCTTCTTTAAAGGATTTAACTTTATTTAAAAAACCCATCATAGTTAAAAAGAAAATGTTTGCAGATGGTGATTAGGAACATTGATATTCATAAACACTTGATCATTTCATTGTCAAAGAATTATTTCAACACATATTTTATCAAATATTCGATAGGCTGGGTTGAGTTACATTTACCCTGTTTAAACTGTTGTCTATAACCATCAATTATAATGTGTCAGTAACTTTAACATACATTGTAACAGATGGTATCCGATTACAACATTACTCAAATAGCCAGATTCTGTTGAATTTCCAAACCGGTACAGTGTAATCGCCAAGTCAAATATGAAAATAAATGAATATATTCATCAACTTGAACTCTCTGTGATTTCATTTGTCTGCATAATTGAATTGAACCTGTTCTGATGTCCAAATAAAGGAAAGAAAGGCTAACAGAAAATTATATTTGCTCAAAGTAAACTTCACATTTCTGAGAGCACATGAGAGCACACACAACGTGGAAATCCCTTCTCGACAGTCAATTGATGACATCATAAAGTGTTTTACGAGGAGAGTCAAATGTCCTAGATTAAGTGCTTTGTAGCATCACAATCGCAACAAATTTTTTCAGAATCAATTCGCATCTTATCTTAAAGTATACATGTATGGATAGTAATGATACCTTGACGGAATATCAATGTTAATAACTCCCAATTCACGACTTTAATTGTAAAAAAAACCCGATTAAGCATAGTAATCCGTCTTTTAGCCAGCATGATAATATATATTTTGATAAAGACTTTTGTAATAAAAATATCATAGCATGAAGTTCACATTGTGGTTTATTTCTAACCTTAACACATATGTAATAGAAAAGATGACAATGCTGAGTTGGTCATTATTTTATACCTTGCTTTATATTTATATATTCACTCTTCAAAAAAAGAAACGTACAGGTAGATTTTCAGTAAATTTATTGTACCTCATTAAATCGATATATTTAATTTAATATCGTAGATACAAAAATGAAATTTTGGTTCTTGATAGTCAAATATTGTCATTATACAAAGGTATTGGCAACAGAAATATTGTCATGTCATATAAGGCCACAAGGTTGTGCTGAACTCAGTATATCGTGTGAACGCCCCAAGCAGCAATAACGGCTATGCATCTCCTCGGCACTGACGTTGACGTACACGTCGAACGAATTCATCCGGTGTTCGATTGGGTTGAGATCTGTGGATCTCGACGGCCAGGGCAAGTCATTGATGTTGGCATTGTAACGGTAGTTAACCTTGACACGAGCTGTGTGCGTTTGGGGGGTTGTCCTGTTGAAACAGCTCCCTCTGATGGTTAATGATTGGAAGAAGGTGAGGTTGAATAATTTGATACATGTAGCGATTTGCTGACAAATTTCCCTGAAACACAACCAAGTCAGATCTGGTGTAGGATAAGGTCCCCCACACCATGACACTTCACCCACCAAAATTGTCGAATTCACTTACACAATGTGTGTCAAAACGCTAATTTCGACGACGATAAACACGTGATGATCATGATTCATCGCTTTCGGTTTCTTAAATTCCAAGGCTGCAAGGTATGACACCAACTCAAGTGTAGCTGTCGATGGATAACAGGTCTTCTGGGTGTATCGGTGTATCGGTCCAAAAGGCGCAAATGGTGCTGTGGTGGACGTTGAATTGGCTTGAAACAGAGGACTGCTATTCCCCTCCTTGGATACGTCCTATCGCGATGTTCCGATCGGCAGCACTGAGTCTCAGCATTTTCGAACTTGAAAAAATGTTGACAATTGAATGACAAATTATTGGCTCATGCTTGCCTTTTTGTTGCCACTACCACGAGTTACTAATACCATAACTTGCACGTGCATGTTTCTTTCCTGATTTCCTCAATGAACAAGTGTGAGAACAATGGCGCTTAAGACATTGCAAATTGACAATGTCAGCGTTTTGACGCACCGTTTGTCGAATATCAGGCCACCAACATTTTCAAGTAACATATATCCAATTCATATAATGGATAATCTGTGTACTCAGGTTCAGTGAACTACATACTTCCTGTGCGTTTCTTTTTTTGAAGAGTGTATATATCAACCACAGATATGTTTTGTGTAAATTGATTCAAATTGACTTAATTTTCTTTTAAATTGGCTGCAATCACTTAGTACCCATGGTATTGCTTCACTTGGCATGTGCTGCAGGCTACCGCTAATATTGTATAACTTCCTTGGTGTAGTACTACATGTAGGTGTGACGACACGTGTCCTTGATCAGTCTCATTAGTGAGTACACAATAAATCACTTATCAATAAAGTACAAACTATTTCATTTTGTGAGTGAGTAAGTGAGTGACTTGGGTTTAACGCCACTTTTAACATTATTCCAGTAACATCAGAGCGTGTCAGCTTCATATGGGAAGAAAGCCCGAAGTAATGCAGGTCTCGGACGTTTACCACTTCGATGAAACCCACGACCACGGGTATGGTGCTGACAAAACTAGAAACAAATTCGAGGCGAACTGGGATTCGAACACACAATCATTGTTTTCTGGCGTCCACAAGGGACGCAACTCTGCACAGCGAATCGCGGCGCCTTAGACGACTGGGCCACCCGGCACCCCTTTTGGGTGTGCATTTTCTTATTTAACAATGATTGTAACTGTGGTACACTTTTTTCTGCTGAAATTCTTCAGACGCTCATTGCATTTTGTTTTGAAAATGATAAGTCGTCAGGAATGAAGTTCTATGTAATGTAAGCAGTCGTCAGGAAGTTACCATATTTAAATGCTGGTGTGATGTGTACGGTATAACGCGGATGGTAAAGTGTGTTGGATCAACATATGGAATGTTCCAGTACTGTCCGGTAAAGGCACTGTGTAAAAATTTCCGGTAGCTATTTAGGCTGTATATATAGTGGGACAATGGCGTGTTTACGCATCTCTCACACTTTTCATAACTTCAAGACCAACTTTAGTGTGTGCATCACTCATCACCCCAGAATCCCTACCTTGACCTGTCTCGGAAGCTTGGCCGCTGTCGCCGAAAAGTGAAAATATCAAAAGGAGTCAGATATCTGTTCAAGTTGTTCAGATAAATCATTCTCAGTTACATGTATTATGCGTAGAATAATAATAAAGTACTTGTCAGTCTATACATATTCTGTGCTGAATGTTCATGTTATTCTATTAACGTTGTGAGATGAAAACGATTTCATTATTGCAAAATATGTTGGGAAGTAAAACCCTCGTATTGAAATAAATTTATGATATTTTTGCCTTATTTGGAAATATGTATTCAGCACAATCACTGCGATAGGATAGTAAGTATTATGTGATTCAGACTGTGAAATTTCATTTGTACGCTGTTACCATTTTTCTGATAATGGACATAACGTCATGGACATGGGTATGTACTGGTTGAACATCATGTTTTACGAGCACTTCATCTCGGTGTTTTTATAGAAAACCACAGGGTAATAGGAGTTATATTTTACAGGCACTTCGGGTAATTTAATAGATTTGCCAGAAGTGACATGAATGAAAGAATGAAAATGTCAGTATATTATAGTTATCCAATAACACTCCGAACTCCATTCCCCCAAAAAGGTCTTAAGCCTACATCTCTACCCATCAGATCCAACACACATACATAGAATGTCATGAAGTGGTTGGTAACTACTCAATTATGTCTCCAATCTTTCACAACCGGTTCAGTCTATTCGACGATTTTGGAAGAAGCCAAGTATCTCTAAATATCTCTTCTCGACAACATTCAGAGTTTTGATGAAGTTTTATTTTCCAAAAGCAAACACTTATGAGTTACATCTATTCACATCAGATTCCGCAAAACATGTACAACAATACTGAAAAATGAGAACGGAAATAGAAATGCATAATTATTGTGTCAATGACAGTAGCTAACAATTGCAGTTCGCAAATTTATCATACCAAACATATGTGTGGTATCAGTAACCAATTGGAAAACCATTACCAGACCGTAGCTTGCCGTTAAAACTCATTCGAATAACACTTTCCAAAAATACAACATCCCAGTTAGGTATAGATATATGCTATTAACTGAGTCATTAAATTTACATGGTCCATTGCATGACCACCTTAGTGTTAATCATATTAATCTATATTATTTCAACATTTATGTTTGTTTATTGAAGCCATTATCACTTACACCTGTTTCAATGGCACATGAATATGTAACAGGGTCGGGTGGTCATCCTGGCTGACTTTGTTGATGCATGTAATCGTATCCCGATTTGCATAAATCCATGCTAATGATGTCAGTCGCTGGATTTTCCTGTCCAGCCTCGATTATTTACACACCACCATGATAAAGCTGATACATTGCTGTGTGAGGCGTTAAACCACAAAACCACGTTAAACATATGAAATACACTAATACACATCAATAATGATACAAACAAAACAACAATAATGAAAAGAAAGTTATCAACATAAAAACAACAACATAATGTATCCATTGCAAGCGACTTTGAAAAATAAAAAACAATTGGTGAGTGAATAAATGATAGGGGATGTACAATTATTTTTGGTTGCGAATGAGATAAGAAAGAGCTATAACATGCTTGCTTGCAATCCTGACTCCAACTACCTGTTTCCACAAAAAGGAAAACGAAATCACACGTGCAGATTTCAATGAGAATGAACAGCAATCATTGACGTATTATGTTAACCCCTCTTCTGCACTACTAGGGTACCTTCTCTTGTTGAATACATGCATGAGCCACAACCAGCAAAAACCAGCTTGTTATGAACATGTTACATCTATCTTCAAAATAAGATTTAATTTGCTGCGTTTGATCAATCATAATTATTGTATAACCCCAACGTTACTGCTCTGTGCATCGCTAAACAGTGGTACGGTTACGTTCTGCTTGGTTTTATTGGCAGTGGTTGACAGTCTGGCTAGTTCATGTATAATCTGTCGTATATAGATCCCCCGTTCCCCATGCTGTCATGCAGATCTTTAGTATCTCTGAGTGTCATGACCGAACACTGGGTGGCGCAGCTCTCTGAACTGCCGTTCATGCCGTTGCTTTTACAAACGTCCTGAAAACTTATACCCGCTTCGGAATAAGCCGTATTTGACTCAGAGGGAAGACTGGATTGACGTGGTTCAGCTGGATTTACCTTTTTTCTACAACAGCAACAGCAGCAGGCGATGGTGATAATTAGGATGACGACGACTGCCGAAGTAACTCCTGCTGCAACTATCAATAGAGCTGAAACACCCTTTGAAGGGATGGCTGTTGTCGGAGCTCCTACGGAGAGAGTGGTTGGTACATTAGTTCCTGTAACAGAATAGTTGTCTCTTAAATACAATGGTTTTCAGTAAATAATTTGCGTTTCTTACATGCTCAATGGCAACATTTATTTTAGACAAAAAAACTGTAAAGTGTTTCTTACGGTACAGTTTTAAGGATGACGTGAATTATTAGATGGGCCGTGTATCACTTCTCAACAATTACACGACACTCACTCGGACAATTTAATCCATATTCGTAGGTGTTAGTTTGTTTGCGTGAATTGTCACATGCGCATGCTGCTTCGTTGATTGATGGTGCACCCTCTTAATTAACTGTATCCCAACTTGAGCAGAGTAAGGTTCTACGACTCGTTAAGTGATACAGATCAACCAGATTATGATTACAAAAGTTGTGTTTGATCTGTGCCCGGTTGCTTTTGTTCTATAAACACATCGTTGGAGTAGGTTTTGTTAAATGGTATAGAATATGGGACTGTTATGTGTATGTTACAAAATCGTTTGAACTTGGAGTGTTTTGCGTTCTTATGCAATAAACTAAATGTTAGAAAGAAAAATAATAAAAGCGATAAAACCCTTTCCACATTCAAAGAGTAGATTGTATTGTTCCATGAGCATGTGTTTATAAACCACATTTACATAGTCATGACACCAGGTGTTCGTGAAAAGGCGCGCGTATCCTGCCCCACAGGTGGTACACGTCACAAACACAAATGAGGGAACAGCTTGGGACTTTCATTATTGTCATTTAATTAAAATTTAGAAATGTCTCCCACATGTCAACCATATAACGTTTGAAGCTCCACCGATCTATTGTCACCACGTTTTATAACAAAACTCCCGTCGACGTCTTTGTGTGGCAGGAGATAGACCCAATACGTTGACGTTGGCAATTTGCTGGTTAGAAAGACAGTCAACGTCTTTAATTTTGTTATTACAGCATATGGCCTTCTGTACACATCAGTCGAATCCAGTGATTTTCTTTTTCGGGGATTATCAGAATGTAAATGTTAGTAAAACCAATTTGAAACATTTCTGTTGATGCCCAATGTATGCTTACTTTTGTCGATAATTCCTGTTCGTCCTCTCCAACATAAATCAATCCACAAAGTGTACATTAAACACCATATGCGCCAGAACGTATTAAAAAGATAAATGACTCCAAAACTCATAAAGTCAAGGTTTGTCTATTTCTGAGAGATGATCAGCGACTAAAATGTATATAAACAGAACAGCCAAAGAAATTCGATCAATTTCTAAAACTCCAAAATGAAACGATCGTATCATTACAGACATATAAATGGTATCATTAAAAAAACGAAGAAAGTTTATCAAAACTAAAATTCGCTCGGGAGTAAGGGGCAAAAACAAGGACTGGTCGGCTCGGAGTCACTGTACTGTTAAACTGCGGCATAGGATCTCAAGTTGCCTAGCTCTATAAAATCGGCATTAGCCCGGACTAGAAAAAAACAGCCACACACGTATGTGAAGGACATGTACAGGCTCCAGTTAAACAAGCGTGAGGGCATATAGGCTGGGATAAGAGTAGCTTCCCTTGGATAAAGGACAGTTTTGGGATTGTTCCTATCACACACAAACAAGTATTATGTTTCCTCACCTATGTCTAACATTCCACAAAGATAACATTGTATGACAGGATTAGATTTCCGTGCATGCCAGCCCCATGATTTTACAAACTGAAAAGATTAGAACTTAGTATGTGTGCTGTATAAATAATACAGAGGACACATGTGAGGTGCGTGAACATGTCTGCAGTGATTGCCTTTGAACTATTTACTTTCATTTATCGTTAAATGACAAAGTGTGGTTTCTGAAGGATTGTAAGATGTGCTAAGACATCTTAGGGTATCTTACTTTGATCAGGGTTACAATATCAAGGGCCTCAGTAGGCTTTCAATTTTTTTCTATGGTTGACATGTAGAGAACAATATCATATAAGTTGCTTTAATGGGAGGCAATATCCTATTTTGACTTTTACCATGTATTCATGCATGTCTTTGTAATGGGTGCCACCGGTCGGGCAGAATACGCTCACTTTTTCCCGAACCACTGGTTCATCACTGTTTGATAGAAACATTCTTGTGATATTGTCGGAATCATGAATAGGACTCAGCTTTTGGTAGAGATTTCTTATCATTATGAAAACGATTGTGTGGCGTTAACTTGCTTGGCAACCAGTTGACATGGCTCGGTTCATGTTAACTAAATACGTAGTTGCAACCTCCAAACAAATAACCAAACTACACTTCATTTTTAGGAAACCTGTCTTGGTATCAAATAAACAACTGGATGTTAAGAAACATGATTTACGATAAGAGTCGTATGTCAGTATTGTACTTATTTTACGCACATGTAAACGTTTCTAGTTTGAATACACTGTTTTGAAGTCAATCCGTAAAACACAGCACGTTTGACTTCTACTGGCAATACATAGCAAAATAAAGTAACAGGACCCTCTGTAAATGGTGTAAAGTGTTACATTTAGCACGTAGCATGTATGCAATGGATAAACATGTCCCAGTCCCCTAACCTAACTATGTTAAAGACATTTGTCTTACATGTGAATCATGGCATGAATAATACTTACTGTTCTGCTGTAGCTCGTTTACACCTTCAGGGGTAATATTCCACTGGTGATTACCACAGACAAACACAAGCTTCACGCCCCCGAAGTGTTCTTGTGTTACATTGATGGGTACAGTTTGGGTCAGGTTTTCGACAGTAGCGTTCCTCCCAGTCTCACATGTATAGGTGGCACTCCCGATCTGTAGTGTTAAGCTGTAAGCGTCAGAGCAGTGGTAGTCTTGAATGTCCACTGTGAGGGATATTCTGTCACCCAGATTCACTGAATCAGCATCCACATCACTGGTTATGTTGACCGAGGGAATCTCTAAAACATCAAATATCACATAACCGTGTACATGTCTCGATTAGAGTAATATCATGAACATAACAATCTACATGTTTATCATTGTATTAATAAATATATCAGGTTAATTCATCAAATAACAACATGTCAATTACAGCCATGAAGATCATGCTTATGTAAGGAATCGTAGAAGGGGCATTGTCCAATTTCTTTGCATTGTATATAATAAATAATAAAATAACAAAAAGCTGTCAACATTAACCACAGTGCGACAATGCAACGATGCGATATTTTTACCATTGTCACGTTGTCGCATTGACGCGATTGAAGTTATACTTTATACGTTTACAAAAGGGCGACAATGCGACAGCTTTATGTTTCATGTGCAGTTTAGAAAATGTGTGAAAAAAGTATTTAAATGCGTATCAGTTCAGTTCAGTTCACCACCGAATGTGGTGCAGGTCTTAGACACAGCGTTGGTACAGCACTGACAAACCAAACACCATAATCAGGACGAATCAGCATTTGAACACTTGATCATAGTCCTTCGAAATTCCTCGATTTGAGTGAGTGATCGAGTTCGTTTTTTAACGCCGCTTTGAGCAATAATTCGTTATTTCATAGCGTCTCACTTGAGAGGAAGGTCCTAAGTGATGCATGTGGTCAGTGCTGGGATTAGAAACCACATTCATACTTTCATTTGCGCCAAGGAAACGCAACTCTACACAAGCAATTACGCCGGCTAAAACGACTGGGCCAACAGTGTCCCTGAACCATTTGAAATGTTGTTGGAGACCACATCAAAATAGCATAGAAATGCAAAGAGAGTGTTGCTTGCTGTAAAAACACATTTGCTTTAGAGGAAAAACGCCACTTACAATAAGGATATCTGAAGTATTTGGAAACGCTACAATAGAAGATTTGTTTTTGCTTTGAGAAAAGCAACCCGCATTGCCGTTGGTACTTTGGTTGAATAATAATTTTAGCTTATGTAAGGCTATTGGAGTTTGAAAAGAAGCATAATTCTTTCTGCGCATGCGTATATTAACTAATTTACTTCAAATGCGTACCATTCAATGGAACAGGGAGACAAAGCGACATTAACAAAATGTCACGTTGTCGCATTCACGTTGTCGCATAGTTGAGCATTTTTAAGAATTGTTTACACATTTCAGATTGGGCGACAAGTTGATAACGTTCAACCTACAGCAATGCAGTATTGCCACCCTTGGGAAAAAGTCATCAATAGTATTTAAAGCGCGACAATACAACAACACAACAATGGACAAATGGACAAAATGTCGCGTTCTAGCATTGTCGCATAATCGCGATTTGGTACATTTTGACAGGGAGACATTGCGAGAACATGACAATATCAATTCTAGAATCTCATTTGAGACGCAAACTTATATCCTACATTAATTAGAGAGAGTTTGAAATATTTGCTTGAACTAAATATGAGGTGAGGTGAGAAGAAGTGGTTTTTAGCGTCTCCTTCAAGATTATTGCACTTATGTAGCGATGTGCATTCACGGGTGTGTATGTCTTCGCCAACCCTCGTATGCCCACGTACGCACACACATCGTATTCATCTTTACCCACCATATCCCTACAACCATCTGACTAGGTCAGACTAGGTCAGCCCTCATGGTTCGATGCTCATGCTTACATACATACTCCATCCTCCCACCATTACCCAACATCCATCGAACTATAACTGAGACCACTGAGATATTATGCCGCAGTTTAACATGAACACCCCACTCACACACAGTATACTGACTCCGAGCCGACCAGTTGTTTAAGTCCCTTAATGCCGGGCGCCAGACAGGGTAACAACAAGTATTAACTTTGAACGTCTTTTTACGTATTACGCCGACGGGAATCGAACCCCGGACCTTCCGCTCTACCACTTGGCCACGGAAGGGGTCCGAACTAGAAATGAGTATAATTGCATATCAAAATGGATAAAGACTTCAACGTACTTGCGACGACAAGATGACAAAACCTTGTTCCCACATCACCTCCATCAGTACATGACCAGTTCCCTGCATGTTTTGGCTGTACACTGATTATCGTGATTTCAGTCTGTGTTTGGTTGATGATGCAAGCATTATATCCTGATACTTTGGTGCAGCCTGAAACCTGACACTGTGGTGCAACTCCGCATGGGCAGTAGTAAATGGTATTAGTGAAGTTGCCAGGCGTGGAACAGGTAATTTGGGCAGACGTCCCCAAGTAGGCTATGTCAGGACAGTGTATTACAGCTGTATCTGAGACAAAAATAATTAGGAAAAAGCAACATCATTTTGTAAGCATATCTTACATGTTTTAATTATTTACGGACCGCTGTCATATAGCTGGACTATTGCTGAGTGCGGCGTTAAACAACAAACAAACATGTGTTATAGTTGTACATACCCTCGTTCACAATTTGTCTATACAGTACATTATGCAATGAAAGAGAAATGTTTCTAACATAGTTTGTCTTACAAACTGTAACCTTAGCAGCTCGGAGATGACGGGATGAACATAATATTTAGCATAAACGCATTTCAGACACCTACCGCTCTGTGTCAGGTGAAATGTGAAGATGGTGAGTACCGAGAGGAGAAAGACCTTCAGAATGACTGAATGCTTCATCTGTAAAAATAAGAACACTATATCAACGTTAAATTAAAAAGATTAGTCTGAAAATTACGGAAAGTGTTAGTAATTAATACTACCGATTACATTAGTACACACGATATCCCTGGTTAATAAACACATCGACTCTATCAGCATTACATAGGGGTGTATGTTACTTACTAGTATCAACCTACTAAACTAGAAGGAGAGTAAATACGGAGTGTAGTGAGTTAGCAAGTATGTAATCAATACTAAACTATGTGAGTGTGTTTTCGTATGTGCGCTTGTGCTATATGTGTGTCTTTCTATGTATCTCTCTCTCTCTCTCTCACTCACACACACACACACACACACACACACACACACACACACACACACACACACACACACTCTACCTCTCCCCTCTATCTCCTTCTCGGGGGCGGTCGGGTAGCCTAGTGGTTTAAGCATTCGCTCATCATGCCAAACTCCCGGGTTCGATTCCCGACATGGGTACAATATGTGAAGCCCATTTCCGGTGTACCCCGCAGTGATATTGTTGGAATATTTCTAAATGGGCGTAAAACCATACTCGCTCAGTCACTATCTCTTTATCTCTCTCATTCTCTCTCTCTCTTCGAATGTGGCACTTACTTTGTGATTCCCCCTTGTCGATAGCAGTTGCACGAAGCATGAAGATAGACTGTTTTCACAACGTTGTACTGACCCAATGTGACGCGGTAAATTGTTCAATAACTCGTATCATTGCCATATCATTGTGCTGATAAAGTTTTATGTTCCTTGTTCGATTCACTATTGATAACAATGACATAATTGCTGTCTATGTGGTCGTTGTGTTCATCTGTAGTATTGCTAGTGTAAGTGTCTATTTCTATATACATATCTCAATCTGTCAAAGGAAACACCACAACCACGTTTACTACTCTTTTTCTAAGCACACTTGATATGATATAGTATAAACTCTATTGCAGACTTCGTATTATAGAAAGTGATTCAACGACTGGACACCAACATCAGTTCCCACATATAGAATCAATATAAAAGTAGTAACCTCTTTTATAAATCATTTAAATATGATTAATTTAAGGAATGCTTACCGTTGGCAGACACATATCAGACTGAAGGTGGTACATCAGGTCTTGAAATGACCAACTTTGAAAGTCGAAGTAACAGAGAATGAAAAAAAATGAAACTCAATACGGATATAGTTGGGTTTAAAGCAAAGAGGTGCAAAATAAAGATGTTTATTGTGTTTTAGTATCAGTGACAAATGTCTTATATCAAAATGATCACAACAAGGACAAGCAAACCATCATGCTAGAAAACATGGAAGTATTTTTAGAACGTGACTTTTTGTCAACATACTCAGAGTGAGTGAGTGAGTTGGGTTTAACGCCGCTTTTAACATTATTCCAGTTATATCACGGCGTGTTAGCTTAATGTGGGAGGAAAGCCCGAAGTAATGCAGGTATCAGACGTTTACCACTTCGGTGAAACCCACGAGCACGGGTATGGTGCTGACAAACCTAGAAACATAACAACATACTCAGAGCCGGATTTAATAGAAGTAGAGCTAGGAGGGAATGAAGTATCCTTTCCTGATTTGTAACCCTTCGAAGTCCTTCCTGTAAATAAAAAAACTTAAAACTAAACCCTGTGGGCGAATAATCATCAACCAAAGCGGAAGCCATCGGTAATTAATCCAATTTCTGCTCACTAAGATATATCCGAATGTCTCTTGACACACACTGCTTAAAATCCCCCAGAGAAACTAACTGCTTTTAAAGTACACTACCCATCAAACATAGTTTTCTTCTCCCTTGCAAACTCAACAAAAGTAGAACAATCCATTTTCTTAACTTTGCCTTTAAGCTTTAGGAACCAATTCAAAACTTCAGCCTTAAGAACTTACGAATCAAAAACAATAACCTTTCTGAGCTTTTCTCTAAACTTACTTTCAAACTGTTAGCCACCTTCTCAATATCATGCTCAGAGAAGGGCGGAACAAGCACAACCAAAGTCCAACAATTCACCACCCATTGAGGAACAGTGAGAGGGATCAATCTGATATTCAATTTGCTTCAAGTTAATTTTTTTATCAGCTTCAGTTTCAAATTGCTAATCCGATTTTCCCTCTCTTTCTGTTTCCATTCATAAGTTTTTTTTCTTTTTCAATGCTAATTACCAATTGTACCCTTACAAATTCCAATTTCATCCCAGCCAAAACTCAGTTTTTTCTTCAAGCAAGGCCAAAGCATAATGTCTTCCTCAACCAGGATCAAGTTTGTGATATTTTGCCAGTTCGACCAGTTCAGAAGTTTTGAGCATAGACACCTGTTCCACACGAGGCTGACTAACACAATCCTCTGCACTAAACACCATACACACTAAACGCAGAAACATAGATTTTTGGAGCGCCCAAGGGACGCAACTCTGCACAGTGAATCTTGGAAAAGGAAAAAACAAGTTTGATGTGCGATTTTCTTATTTAACTAAACTGACCTGTATTGGCAGCTGGTTTGTTGTGACACAGCTAGACGTTGGCCACAAAGCCATTAACATAGCCATATTTTTTCGTTAAGTTATAGATACATTTCTTATGCCCTTTGAATATACAGTCAACGATAAAAACGCCTTTCACTCGCAAACGTAATTCGATGCAATAAGGAAACACAGAACCAATGTTCCGCCTCAGTTTATTTTCTTGTATTTTTTTGTTGGTTAACGCCGAACTCAACATAATTCCTGCTATATGCTGGCGGTCTGTAAATAATCGTGGGCTGGACCAGACAATCCAGTGCATCATGAGCATCGATCTATGCCATTGGGATACAATGACATGCATCAACCACGTTAGCGAGTCTGGCCATCTGATCCTGTTAGTCGCCTCCTACGACAAGCAGAGTCGCCTTTTACGGCAAGCATAGGTTGCTGAAGACCTATTCTGATCCGGATTTTCATACTGTCTCTGCATATGGTTCCTATACGCTTGAAAACGAGTTTAGGATTGGTTAAAAAGAACAAATCAATTTATGTTTATAAGTTTTTGCTTTTTGAAGGAAAGTTGTACTTATCCATTTGTTAGACTGGAATTTTACTGACTGGAGCTGGCAGGATGTCAGTGTCTCGAAAACGCACTTGATTTTTTTAATCATTTTCACATACTATTTGCACATATCTGCCAAGGATGCTGCGGGCTGGCAAAGTTGAGGTCTAGAACGTGGTCGGTCCCTGGTGTTACCGATCTGTTGATACCGACACCAGTGTGACTGTATGGTGTAAGGATGAACAGCAAAACACATAACAAGTACTTTCTGTGCAGTTCAAGCTTCAAGCATTTCAGTTGCACGCAACTGCACATTTTAGATAGGAATAGCGCAGCGTTTATGCGCTTTTGCCGTAAAGGAAGTTGCTTTTCATAATTAAAACACTTCACATGTACCGTAAATGTTTGATGAGTTTCTTACACAGAGGCATTTATGTACTCAATTACCGGGATGCACGTGCAGTTTCAGCGTCATCATTGGTAAGAACGACAACATATTTAGTTATATGAACAATCCATGACAAGTTCATGTTAGTTTTTTGGGTTTGGTTTTATGTTTTTTTAGGCGGCAGAGAAATGTTTCTTCCGCTATTATAGTTAGTATTCTGTATGTAAACATAGATCTTAAGGAAACCAATTGGCCGGATTCATATGAATGGTATATGGACGGTAATGGTTTTACTGTGCATCCTTAAACAGTACATCACAGCTGATTATATTATAACCAAGCATGGACATAAAGCATGCTGGCGATCAACCAGTATTAAAAGAGTAATACAGACTTAACGGGTTCATTATTCGTGTAACATGTACAAGTCGTTTATCAGTTAACATTGATATTTAGTCATGTAAAAGAACGATACTTTCCTCGTTCCTCTTGCTATTGCCATTGTTATGTATATACACTTCTGATAAATATAACGTTCAATTGAATATTCCCACACAACAATGTCCGTGTTTCTCTAACTGTTTCACTTGATATGTGTACAAGTTCCATTACATTTAACGTTTCATTGAATATTCAAACACACGGCACTTTCCTTGTTTCTCTCTCAATTACAGATTGGTATGTAGCCTGCAATCTCGGGGTATCGCGATACTTGTCATGTTCTATAAACGGAACAAAATGCACTCACTAACCTTTATGTTTATTCGTGTTCTCTGTATCAGATATTATTCATGTTATCAAACAATGCATATTTTACTGATAAAAGTTCATTATTTACATAAGTAGCTCCGAGTGAAAGCCGGGCTTCGCGATCTGTTTGACAAGGGAGAGAACTCCATCGTATCGCGGTACAGAGAAAAGTTGTGTATGGAGGTCCGAATTGGGCAAAAAGAGGACATAATTTTACAAACCACTTGGTATGATCATGCCAGAAATCAGTGATTTGTCCAGACAAGTGCAAAGACAGCACAAGTAAAATTCTAAATTTGTTATCAGCAAATGGTATTCAATGCATACTTACCGAAAAGTATGAGACAAATATTTTTATAAGTCAACATCAAAATATCAGAAATGATATTTTAAGATTGTTTAAAAAAAATGGATGACAATAATTTGTCACAAAATGGAAAAATGTTAAAAGTCAACAATAAATATATAAAAAACACTCCTAGTATGCCCAAAGTATGTATTTATCTTTTGGTTACTAGTGAAGAACGTTTTTTTTAAGTTTGGCATTATGGCCCTTATGATCTCCCAATAGATTCTGGGCACAGAGCGGGAAAAAATGTGCGAACTACGTAACTTCCGTTACCTCATTAGTCGCCATGAATATGCAGATGATCTAGTTCAGGTCGATAGAGAAAGTTTACTTGGGGAACTGCGGGTTATATCGTTGGCCATTGATAGATGGGGGTAAGGCAATATTACAACATATGCCAGAAATATGTATCCACGGATTAATAACTCCTTACTTACAGCAGACGGAATATTCGGAGGAAATTGAAATTGTTTATGAAGTGAGCACTTCCTGGTTACTGATTTGCATTAATAGACAGCCGCTAAGAGGCGTGTCCCGCGTTAACTATCGGAAATCACAAATGCCGCGATACGATGAATGTCGCGGTATCATGGGGTCCGAGTACATATAAACTTCCTTTGTATGTATTGCCGTAAGAGGCGACTATGCTTGTCATAAAAGGCGACTACGGGATCGGGTTTGTCAGGCTCACTGACTTGGTTGATGCATGTCATCGATCTCAATTGTCTTGGTCCAGACACGATTATCTACAGACCGCTGTAATATAGCTGGCATATTGCTCAGTGCGGCGTAAAACAACAAACCAAACGAAATACCTTTACATGTATCATCCAATGAACACACGGTATTTTCATTAATCCCCTTACACGTGTGTTGAAAACATGAGACACAAGTACACAACGGAATGGAGATACGGTAATAAGATACGATGATATGTTATTAATGTGTCACACGGTGTATGTTACATACGGTAATAAGATGCGATGATATGTTATTAATGTGTCACACAGTGTATGTTACATACGGTAATAAGATACTATGATATGTTATCAATGGGTCACACGGCGTATGTTACATACGGTAATAAGATACTATGATATGTTATAAATGTGTCACACAGTGTATGTTACATATGGTAATAAGATCGATGATATGTTATTAATGTGTCACACGGCGT